AATCTAGTGAATTGCCTAAGGTTTTTACCAGCCAAAGTGTTATACAGGTAGTCTGGAATATATCTTAGACCCATAAATTTCAACCTCCCATACCAAAAATAGCAGAGCCCTCAGAAAGATTTATAGTACATAAAAGAAATAGCACACAAAATAGAAAAACAGCACTGAAGTTACTGAATGCTGATTAACTCCTGCCCTCAACTCCAAGTATTTTTCAGTCCAGTTAACACACATTTTTGAAATTTTAAATAAAAGTTAGGTATTACAAGCCATAAAAATAGGTAACAACTATAAAAGAAAGAAAAACAGTTTTGAACACAGAAACTGTTTGTTTTTATTTACCCTAAATGAGGTTCCTTTTCAAATTTCTTTTTGTCTACAGGTATCTCTTTTTACTAATACTTTTAAAATAGGATTCCTGGAAGTTTTTATTGGTGTATGTTTATGGAATTAGTGCAATTATTTAAACTTTCTAAAATTCTCCTTTATAATGATTTAAACAGTACAGGCATATTATACTTTATATAAGAATGAGCTTCCTCTTTACCCATATTTCATAAAATAATCCTTACATACTTCTGGGATACATATACATATGTATGTATGTATGTATTAAGTGTTCACCATATAATTATTGGTTAAAAATAAAGTACTAATTTCAGAATAAATTAATTACCATCATAGTTCTGAGTAAAATTCTGTCTACAGTGATCTAAAATTTCCAAAAGAAAATTAAAATTTCATTTGTTCTTTCTCTGTTAAATATTAAAAATATTTGCCTTGTAAAGTACTTTTCTGGACATTTCTACCTCCTATGGAATACAACTGGAGAATTGTTTTATACTGATCCTATGGGTACCAGCAAACTTATATTCACATTTATGAAAACAATTTGATATTTTCAAGAACTGCTATTTATTGACAATATGTAGTGATACATGTGAGTTGTATTTTTATATACAGATTCTTTCAAATGGGTTTTTAATTCAATTAGCTAATTTAAAGGAAATTAGTTATGACAAATAAGATAATGTTCAAGTTGTTGAAATTTGCAGATAATTGTTTCCACTTATAGAAAATTCTCTAAATTTGGGTGGGTGTTTTAAGTTTAATTCTAATTTCATTTTGTTCTTTTTCCAGAAAATCACTTCCCTATCACCTGTAGAATTCCGTTATAAATGGCATGAATTTCTTTTTCTTTTCAGGGAAGAGTCCAAGACAGACTTCGCTTCACAATGACTCTACTCTGCCCTGTGATAACTAGGCAGTGATCCTCCGAGGAAGGCTTTAGAAAATGTATTGGTACTAGAACCAAGAACTGGTGGATTTTGAAGAAGTTATTGCTGTGTAAAATTCTATTTTAAGCTAGTTGTTATCAGGATAATTTATTTTAAAACAAAAAGAAAAAAGAAAACTATTTTTGATGTTACCAACGAAAGCTTCGGTTTCTGAGCCGCCTTGCACTGTTCATTTCTCTTGGCCCTATCGGTATGTGCGTGGGGGGTGGGGGGCGGTTGTAGTTGTTTCCTTCTTAGTTAACAACAAAAATAATATCAGATCTTGGGCTAAGGATCTGACCAAACAGAAAGTGTGATGTGAATAAGATAAATCCAGCTTTAGGAAGCAACGACACCCCCCTCCCTTGGTTGATTGAGATGATTAAGCCCCTCATGCTTAAATCTGCAGGGAAATTGTAGCAAAGCGGTTCCCACATGAACAAATATTGGCACTTCCACCAAGAATCCCCCAAACCAAGTAGAAAGCGCGGGGCTTATGCCTACAAAAGAGTGGACCCAAGGGGCAGAGATCTAGAGGGAGGAGGGTGAGAAGTTAGTAATGATGCTTTGAGAAACCGAATCGCTGTTTCTCATTCCATTTCTCCTTTTCCCTTCCTGCTCCTCCCTCCCAAAAGAAAAAATTACATATCGACTGCCGCCTAAGTAGCTTGCGCTTTCTTTGCATCATTTAGTGCCTGATAATTAATGATGCCCGCGCCGGTCGCCCGTGGCCTGGGCTCAGGTTGGAGCCGCCGGCAGCCCCTGACGTCAGCGGCCGCGCTGCCTGCGTCAGGTCCCGAGCAGCCCCCGGGTGGCCCGGACTGGAGTGCAGGGGATGCAGGGGGAGAGGCCCGGGCAGGGCCTATGAAACCTCAGAAGGGGCAAAAGGAACTCCCGGCGGCCCGTCAGGAAGTCCTGTAGCGGTTAGAATGGCAGCGTCTGCGGCTCGGGGGACTCTTGGCCACCCCAGACTGAGACCGGGTCTGGAGACCCAGACTCGGTATAGGCTCCTAGGGCTAGACCAAGCTGGGGAGTCTAGAAAAAGAGGCCAGAGAGAAACGCAGAGCAAGTTTGTAAACAGCCAGCGCTTCCTTCATCCCACTCTTACCTGGGTCAACATAATATTGTTTTCCACAGACTCCAAAAATGTGGACCTTCAAAGATGAATAAATAGACCCACCGTTTCTGCCTCACTTTGACACGACTTGGAAGTTGGTACTCCCGTGGAGTGCCTCGTCTGTGCGCTGAACGCTAGAGATCAAAACCTGGGGGAGGAGGATGCTAGGAACCACCACTGAGGGAAAATGAACTGGACCTCGCAGTTAACTAGCCACAATCTTTGCTCTCTCCTTGCTCTCCTGCCTGCCTCCAACCTTTCCTTCTTTTCCCACTCTTCTACTCACCTTTAGACCACATTGTACTACTCTCCCACGCTGAGTTCTCAAGTTTGTGGAAGGGCTTGATTTGTCAAAGGGGGTCTTGGCCTCTGTGGTCCAGAAAAGTGTGTTCAATCCCCGCAGTTGCCCATGTACTAAGGGTCGGGGGACTCGAGTTTGGGGAGCCACCAGCCGGATCGGGTCTACAGAATTCGGTCTGTAACAAACCCTGTAGCTCTCGTGGGCCTTATCCTACCTGGATTTCTTCAACTTGGAGAAGGATTTCTCTCCCAAGAACCCCTACAGTATCTCTTTTTCCATGATAGTCGTTGCCCTTCTCGTTTAGTTTTCCATCTTTTCATCTACACCAGAGGCCGGAGGGAGTGGACAGTGAGACTTCCTGAGTAAAACTTTGAGGACAAAGCTGGTTTTTGTACTTTTTTTTCCCTGGAATAAATCCGGGTCCCAGGAACTGCCCTCTGCGCGGCCCCGAGAGAAAAACCGGCAGCGGAAGACAACATTCAGGTGCAGAAAACAGCCACTGCCATTGCCGCTGCCATCCTCTCCCCAGGACAGCTGCTGAAGGAAGCCAGCCATTGACTGCTGCAGGGCTGGAGAGAACACGATTTCGCGTCGCCCTTCCGCTTGCACCCAGAGAGTGGCTGGGAACTCGGGCAGGAGCGAATTTCTGCCCCTCTCCAATTGAGAGCAGTGAGCGGGCTCTGTTATTAGGGTACAGACAAGAACAGCATTATCTGGGGGTGCGTTTTGAACACTTAAAACTTTAATGACAGCTTAAATAAAGGAACACCTTTCCCCCTAGTCAATAAATACTGGGGGGAGCGCCTAACTCTCTAAGCAAGTGGTCTCCTCGTCCTGGCCGCAGCAACGTCTCCAACTCCAGCCTCATCTGCGAGGCCCAGGGTCAGCCGCGGCGCTGCACGCCGGCGACTTTGTAGCCAGCCTGCCTTCCCTTTCTGGGCACCAAAGTCTGGGGATAAGCTCAACCAAATTAAATCGAGATGAGTCAACTTGTAAAAGGCTTTAAAAACCTTGATTAACCCCTCCCCATATGCCCCACTGGCGAACATAAATTGTAACATTCTAGTATCTCCAGCTAGTAAAAAGAAAAAAAAAATACATATGAATAACAACAACAAAAAATGCCGTAACTGTAACACTGCCTTCACAGCCTTGACTGGTGTTGGGATTTCTCAGAACCTAATTGATTTTAAAAAGATGATTAGTCTTGTTTATAAGCCTTGCCTCGAAGTGGCCACTTGAAGGATTCAGGAATTATTCAAAGAAGGTTTTCTTGGGTTTTTTTTTTGTTTGTTTGTTTGTTTCCTGTTGTCTTTTTTTTTTTTTTTTTTTTTTAGGAAGTGCCTTTTACCGGATGTCCTTCGCTGCCCTTTTCAGGCAGCTATCCGCCCGTCTGACACTTGATTAAGCCTCAGGACTTAGAAAGATCATTTCCTCGAACACTAATTTGAGCGAAATCTGGATTCAGAATGTAGGTTTACACGCCCAGCTCGAATGTCTAATGTATCAAATCCTCGTTAACGAACGGCCGGCTCCGTGGCCGTGTCAGCCAAAGGTCAGCCCCGTGCAACAGGGCAGCGTGGTTCAAAAGCCCTCTTCCACCACCCTGCCTCCCCCACTCAAATCCATCTTTCACATTTCAATAGTGGAACACACGAAGCTCCAAATAGAAATGCTAAGGTTGTTTTTCTTTCTTTTTCTTTCCTTTCTTCACATTTGTGACATGTAAATGGCATGTCCCAAGGCAACTAATGAAAAATTTAAGTTTATTTTTTTCCAGGGTAAAGACAGTGGAATTAGTGGACAAAATAATTGTTGAAATGTCATTAAGAGGCCCGTATATTTAAGAATTGGTGGCTCTTAGAAATCTTAACTTAAAATAATAATAATAATAATTTCAGAGCATTCAAATGGAAACCATGAGTAAACTTTGTTGGAGACCTTAGTGATTAGAAACTGCTTAGGCGAAGGGGCAATTCCCCTCCTCTGCTGCCCCACTCCCCTTTTACAGACCATCAGAAAGCTTATTTTTGAAAGATAGCTTTGGTGTCCACAGGGCCAGGAAGATAAGGAGAGCGGGGCTGGACCCTTTACACTCTCGCCTCACTGGGGAGCCCCGGGACATTTCTGACTATCCTGGAGTCCTCGGCATTCATACACCCCGGCGGCAGAGGCCAAATTGGCGCGGCTGCTCCCAATCAGCCCAACTTTTCGGCGCGCGCCTCGGGTCACGCGCGCGCGCGCAGTCTCGGGCCGCGTCCACTGGGAAGGTGGAGGGGCGGGGTAGGGGGAGAACGCGACTTACCAGGTCTGGGGTCTAGATTTCGGGCAAGGTTGGCAGCTGAGAGAGGCCGGGCAGATAGTCCTACCGAAGACGGGCAACTGGGGCAGGGATAAGTCACGAATAGGGAGGGAGGGAAAACGCCTGTGCGGTTTGGGGTCCCCCTTCCCTCAGCCCCGGCCGGTGCTCCCTGCTGCCGCTTCCACAGACTAAGCTTGGCCTGGCCAGGGTAGAACCCAGAGCCCGCTTCATCGCCTTGCAGACTGAGCTGCCGACCTCAGGGACGCCTGGGGGCGGGGGAGGGGCGTCCCCACTCTCCAGCGGAGGAGAGGGTAACCGCACTGCCGGCGCAGAAGCTGGTGGCCAAGCTGATTAGCCGGACAGTTCCGCGGCGCCAGGCCGCTGGCTTGCAGACCCCGGCCGGCTCCCGCCTCCGCCCCTCCCTTCCTTCAAGTCCCTCGCCAAATGAAAAGGGTTCTTTGGGCCTTGGCCTTTGGGAGAAGACGCGGGAATCCACGCTGGGTTTGAGCTTTCTGTTCAGAGAGTGCCCTACACAGTTCTTCATTAGCTAGGAGCCTGTAAAGTTTAGGTCGCCCTCCCCCATATTAAAACACAAAGGGACCCAAGTCACGAAGGGGTTTACTCTAGGGTGGCCCCTGTGGCGAAGTTTGATGGAATGAGGAGTTCTTCGCCCCTTGACCAGACGCTGGGCCCTCTGGCCTCTGGGCCTCAGACTGGAAAACTCGAATTCCTGTTGTCTGGCCACTTTCCTCCCAGTCACCTGTAGTTGGGGGGAGGAGGGGTGAGTGTCTTCTGCCAGACATCTGTGAGCCTAGTGCCCAGCGGCGGTGGGTGAGGGTTGGTGAGACAGGCAAAAAGGCCCACAGCAAACGCTCTTTGGCCATCCTCGCGTTATTGAGTTCTGTGACTCAGAAGTTGGGTAGAAAGAAAGGCATTGTCCTGGCATCAACGTTTCCAAAACCTGTCTCCCAGCGTCCTCATGTTCAAAGCTGAAGACCTGGAGAGTCGTGGTTCTCAGGTAAATGATGCTATGGCCCCCGTATTCCAGAACTTGCACGGGTGAATTGGGCTCTGGGTAAATCGGGCACACTGCTCAGTGTGTACTGAGCAGTGACCCAAGGTATCTCCTGTTGGCAGTGGGGGAAGTGAGAAACTAGGCTCCACGAAAGGAGTCTACCTGTTCAGTTGAAAGTAAAATCTAGAGGATTGGAACATGTCAGCAGCCATTTCTGACGTCATGGACCCAGGATTCTGACTAAAAACACTCAAAGACATAACTCTATAGATGGTCAGAAAATAGAGTGTTCAGGGACCCTCCACTGCCCCTCCCCTTTGTTTACAAGTATCAGCCATTCCACCAGGCATGTACTCACTCTGGAAATGTCAGCACAATGGCCACAAAATACCGCTCAATGTACAGAACCCCAAGAACCTCATCAAGAAAGGAAAGCAATAATCCAGCGCCTGAGCCCCAGTTTCTGTCACCAAACTCTACACTTTCCAGTCTCTAGGCCAAGGCATTTCTTCCACCAATCACCATGTCTGCACCACCCAAGCACATTTGAGCTTAACAGGACTATTGCATCTCACAGACATGCGAGCTGACTACTAGTATTTGGAAAGGGTCAGGTGAAAACCCTAGAGCAGTAATTCAACCTAGTGGCTCCCAGTCTCTCAAATGGGGCGGTGGAAGGCTGGGGCAGAGTCAGAGAGCAAGAGAAACTAGGAAAGGGGAGTTAGAAAGAGTGAGGATGAGACAAAGACAAGCAGACACCCAGACTGGGATCTGGGCAAAAGAAGAATCAGTAGGCTCTAGGAAAACACCCATTGGCGCCACCCTACCAACTTGGGCCTGGGCTCTGTTTAGAGGTCTGGTCAGTACAGAGAACGTCTTCTCAGAGGAGGTAAGGGATATGAAAACAGCTAGGGTGACAGCTCTCAGCTTGGGAGGGGATAGGAGAAGAAGGGGGAGATATCATCAGTGGACACGGTGTAAACCAGGAGCCCAGCCACCCGGAGCATAAGCTTGTGGCCCACTGGGGGTTTGCACACCCCGCAGTCCCCAGGCCCGGCGCCTGGCGAAGAGGAGACTCTGCCAGGCCCACTTGGCTAGCCGTTCCAATGGCTGTGGCCGCAGGTTGCTCGAGCCTCTGGTGTTTGCCCAGCAGTGTGAACTCTCTTAAACCAGCGCGGTTTGAAAACAAACACGTGCAGCTTCCCCGCCACACTATTTTGGGAGCCAGGCCAGCCACTTTCACAGGCCGGAGCCTTTGCGCGGTTTCCTCCTCAGCCCTTGAGGGCGGGGGCGCGTCATGCATATTCATGAGCACGTGGAACCGCGGGCCACGGGCCGCGCATGCGCAATGCTCGCCCAGCCTGTCTTGATGATTTGGAAAGCGCCCCGCGGGGCTGCCGGGTGGAGCCGGGGGCCTCTCGCACGCTGCCGGCCAAGCCTTCCGTGGAGGTGCTGTGTGGGAGTCTATGTCACCCCTACACCTGCCCCCCGAAATCTGTGTTTCCTTACTCTCAAGAAATTCTCCAAGGCAAAAATTTCCTTTTACGCACACTTCACCTCACCCCTAACGTTTCTCCACAACTTTCAGTTTTCTTTGCCAGAAGCTAGCATTTTCCTGGATGGGCAGAAAAATTGAAAAAAAAAATATTGCGATGTGCGCTTCTTTCACGTTTTACGTCCCTGTTTTCTGTGGCTTAATGGGAATTGTAACACAAAAGACAGATGTAAAATAACAAAATTTTTTAAAATGTTTACGTTTGCTAAGGTCGGACGCCTTTGAAAATGTGGTTTTGGTGGTGGTTATTGTTTTTAAAGATGTAATTCCAATATGTTTATACCCATGCTGGATAGTTGATTCTTGTGTATGCTGTAGGTGAAAATATCACCGTAACTTTCACAACCGTGGATTCTCCTGCATGTGTTTACACAGATGCCCTACAACCATCAGAGGCAGCCAAAATACTGTGGACAGTTGACAGACAGTCGTCTCTAGCATCTTCACCATCAAATGCCATTTCCATACTACACAGCTAAATCTGATTTTTTAGTCTTGAAAAACTCACCTTTAGTATGGCATCAATTGGAAATTTTAGGCTGTTTTCGCTCCTCACTCTAAAGTGGGACTCAACCTTAAGAACTGATGATAGATTTTATTTTGCACAGTAAAAGTAACCCCTGATTTGGCCCGTTGTGTTTCCTCATGCTGAGGAAGAGATTCTGGAGCAAATCAGCCTTGCATAGATTTAAGACGAACATCATTCATATATTGTTCCTGTTATACCATTATATTTGCAATAAACTTTGAGAAAAAAGGTTCAAAGCATGTGACATAAGAAGTGAGCAATTTTTCTTATTTTTTGCCCCAAACTATTGTACACCATTAAAAAAAATAGATCGGCATATGATTACCCCATAAAAATCTTACTTTCTATATCTAACCAGTTCAAACGGGTACGTATTACAGACAATGGTCGGGGTGGTTAAAAAGCTAAGAGAGAGCATCACTGGCAATGTGAACCTTCAGTGGTTGAACTGGCAAAAAGGGGATGAATCTTTCCATTGTCACCCTATTTTCAAGGATTCTAAAACCAAAAAGAGTGATATCAACTGTGGCCATCTTTATGAAAACAACACTTTTTCCCCATACCATAAACACATAGTTCTAAGAACTAAACATGATGCTAGGAGGAGACAAAAACTCTGTACCTGGAGAAGAGGAGATAAATTTGCAATTAGTATTTTAAGTTAGACAGGGAAAGAAGTGTAACCTGGGAATGTGTAAGATCTGATGTCTTCATATATAGTCTACAAACAAAGGCACAAGCTCAGTGCCTTTATTTTGAGTGTGTCAGACTTCATACAAATAACTCTTCAAAATATCTTAAACTGAATCTGCTCTTTAAGGTCCAGCACTTTCTCCAAGTCATTTTGTGAATAGCATTATGCTCAGTTACCAACTACACTGGCATTGACTCATAAGGGATCCCAGACACTAATTAAATGCTGGCCTCAAAAAAGGAACTTCTGGAAGGTTTGCGGGCTGAGTGAGGTATTTGTGGGGTACAGTCCTGTTGCCAGCCCTTTAAAAGTTCTGAGAAAACTTCACAATCAACAAATAAAAACATCTAAATGCCAGACCCATCAGCAAAGAAGGTTAGAGCTATTTTCATTGTCAGCTAAAGGCAAACACACACATACACACACACACACACACACACACACACACACACACACACACCATAAGGAGATGGGGCAATTGAAAGGTTATATCTTTCTTTTGGAGGTGGTTTGCTTCTTAAAGGTTAACGTGAATGCTTGACTTTAAAAAATCAAAATCATCAGCTGCAAATGCTTAAAGCAGTTGGGGGTAGCTTTTGAAGAAGAAAACAAAGGATCTGAAATGTTTGAAAATTACTTAGTACCCATGTAAATGGTGCTTGTATATTTATATGCTTTCTCTATAAATGTACACACACATACCACAACTCATTTCTCTTCATTTCTCAAATATGATTGCTTGTACTCAGGCATTTTCTGTTGATAAAACATAACTGTTTAATAACTTGTCAGCTGTTCTAGCCATTTGATAGTATCCAGAATACAATGCAGTTGCAATATGAACCAGGATGGCCTTCAAGCCTAAGTCAAAATCTACAGCTACACACAGAAACCAGCCATTTGCAGCATCTTCTGCTCCTGCTAAATAGAGTCTAACAATATATTTTGCTGTTCACATTCATGTATTTCAAAACCTAATAGCCCATGAAGAAAAGTATGAAGAATACATCTCAAGAAGCAGACATTAAAGGTACCAGCAAAATAATAGACTACATTTAAGTTTGAAGCATTATTTGGGCAACCTACATCATTAATGACTTTTTCTTTGTGGTGGGTATTGGAAGAGAGAATTCAGAGGGGGGCTGGCATAAATCTTGCCTTCCATTACAAAAGTTACTTTTCTGTGAGTGAGATAATTCACAAATATATACACACAATACTCCTGAAATGGTTTTTGAAAAATTATTTGGCCTTCAAAGTCTAAATAAATATTTGAAGTATGAAGTAGTTCTGCAGTAAACATTTACCCCTAAAATTTATCTTTAAAATGTCCTACTTAAATCATATGTCATAGTGTGATAGTTAATTATTATACTATGCTATTAAAGCAATAGAGGCATCAGGTACATAACAAGACTTATAATTCAAACTTTGCAGTACATTGGAGGAATGGTGAAATCAAAGATCATCTTATCGTTTACTGTCTTAAAGGCATTAGCAAAATTACAAAAGTATTATTATTACAAGTATGATTATGATACTTGTATCAGGTTATATCTGCTTCCCAGACAATCTGATCTCAAGGATTATTAATTCAGGTATTATCTTGCCTAGAGTGATGAGCTATCTTTACCCCTCTTTCTATTTTTAACTATTGGACTCAATGTCTGGAGTCACTTCAAAAATAGTACTCTTGTTATTAAATTTCAAACCTCTAAGGCCAATTGAGGCCAGCTTTTGGTTCACAACTTTTTGGAGCTAGCAGCAATTCCTGCTTCAACTTCCTTAAATCTCTCCAAACATTGCAAGGTGGCGCTCTTTTCATGAAAGGTCAATATTACTGTTATAATCAGAATACCATTTTTTAAAAAGTTAAACACCACCATCCCCAGTTTTCGATGTGCTACAGGAAGTGCAGCAAATCTCTTCCTCAGCAAAGAAAATTTGTTGACTAAAAGTGACAAATACGAATAGCAAGAGATGAAAGGACAAGTCAACAAAGGATTTTAAAAGAGAATTTAACATTTTTATTCTTTAATTGGTCAAATTTCACCCTAAAATAGATGTGTCTTAAGAGGTTTTCATACTTTGTGGGGTTTCTCCTCATGTTTTCCTTCTCAGAGTCAATATGCCCTGTGGCTTTTGGAACACACATAGTATACTATAGAAGCAAGTCCACTTTCCCCATTGCCCACAGCTAGGTCAGTTTCTGCTGCGGGCTCTAACGTATCCATACGCAGCTACAGCCAAGGGCCTGATTTGTGATCTCTGGATACGTTGTCTGCCTAATGGGGCGATCATGCAAGCTACAACCAGAAACAAAGAAGCCTCCGTTCCAACCAGCGCAGCTAACTTCGCGGAAGCAGCATAGCTTGCAAATCTATCAAACTAAACTGCAAGAAAGACAATCTGATTTAGAGAAAAGGCGTTCTGCTACAGTCATTAAGCACAAGTAATTTAGATTTTTTTATATTGTCTCCTCATTTACAAATTTACTGTATCAACGCCAGCCAATGGAACGAATTTCTTAAGTAAATGAGAAATAAATAAAAGAGATAGTAAGATAATCAAATTACATAAAATAAACCTCTTCCCTAGATGTATTTTTGAGAGAACTAATAATAGTGGCAAAATTATAGGAATAATAACATATAATAGGAAGTAATTAATTTAGATTAGCATCATGTTTGAAGAAATATAAGTGAAATGCTTTATGGATGTTTACTTTTGTACAAAGAAGGAAGGCCTGGAAAAGCATGCATTGACATCCTGAAAATTAGTTATGGCCGTAAATAGTTTAATTGAAGACAGCAATTTAAAATATGATATTGTAAATCTGCAACTCGGTTTCAGTCTGGGGAATTTAATTTGGGGGGCAGCGGAACCTTCCCTGCAAGTTCATTTGAAACGCTGCAGAGCAAGCCCCTGAGCTTCTGACAATTCGCCTACATTAATATTGATGTCGCCTGTGCAATCTATTTCTGTTATTTTTATGGTTGTTATTCTACGTCTGCAAAGGTCATTTAAATTATACTGCGGCCGAAAATTTGTTTCATAAATTTTGATATAAATACTAATTACATCCTCTCAGAGAGCCAGCAGGGTAGCGTTCATTTATCACGTTTATACGATCTGCAATGACAGAAAGGGAAGGCTAGGGAGACTGGAGAGTTTTTCCGGAGACCCACTAAGGCAGGCAGAAGAGGCAGCAGGTTGCTGGTGGATGAAGAAGAAATTCCTACCACAATCACTGAGATTTAAGAATCTTTAATAAGGTACGAAAGGTTACCAAACAGTTCTGGAAACTAAAGTGTACATACGAGTTCTTCTAGCCATAAATATTGAAGAGCTGTAACATGGATAAACCGGCCCTTTACATGCGGATAAATATGGAAACTAGGAATTATATACATTATGTGGTTGTATCTTTTGCCAAAAGTAACGGACAGTTATAGTTTATATCTTTTTTAATATCACTTTACATAAACAAATGGAACAGTTTGACACGCAGATCCAGGCTCGTACTATACGAATTCTTGACAGGACGTGAAACAACATTTTACTGCACTAAAGTACTTAGACTTTGGGACGAAATGTTTGCACTTTATACAAAAAAAAAAAAAAAAAAGCACATTAATACCAATAATATTCTGTTAGGTCGACGTGGAGACTGTAATCGTACAAAGTAATTCACATTTTGGTACACATTTACTAGAACATTCTTGCCATTCAGTACAAACAGTTGGCTTTCGGCCGCCCACCCCTCCCCCTCCCCCCTCCCGCCCTGCCCCTCCCCCTCCCCAATGCAAAGACCACAACTCCACGATCCCACCCACCCGCTCCAACCAAGATATAACTATTTACAGAATTCAACAGTACAGTTTTAAGCTAATAATTCTGTATTTACAAGAAAGCAAAGCAAAAAAAGAAGAAGAAGAAAAAAAAGGAAGCCCCAGAGAGCCGGTTCTAATCAGACAAGAAACTGGCCTTCTGAGTTGGCGGCATTTGGTCCGGCGGCCGCCTCCTCCTCGACCCCCCCTCCCCACCCCCGCACCAGGGCTACCAAGTCTTCTCCAAAAAAAAAAAAAAGAAGAAGAAGAAGAAGAAGAAAGAAAGAAAGAAAGAAAGAGAGAAAAAGAAAGTAAAAAAAAAATTTTTTTTAAAGGCTTGATGCTTTCTCTCTCTTACTCGCCCTAGGTCTATTGGCAAATTTAAAAAAAAAAAATAGGATTGCGGGATCTGTGTGGGGACTGCTTTTATTCGCAGGGTTCTTTCAGTAATCTCTGTATACGTGTGTTTCAGTCTCTTAAATAGGGGTTTGTTCGGTGTTTTGTTTCTGATTTTAAACGTACCATTCGTTAAAATTGGAAGAGAGCGCGCCGTGGCCGGCTGTGTGGTGGACCGCGGAGGAGGACGGTGACAAGGAGCTGGTGGTCGGGTTGTCTGTGGAGGGAGACACGATGGTGGGCGGCGTGGAGGACTCATAGCCCGAGCTGGCGGCCGGTGAAGGCTGCGAGCCCTGCGAGGAGGATTCGTGGACCTGCAGGAATAAAGTCTCGTTTTTACGGAGATAATGAGCCCGCGCCGCGGCCCCTTGAGCGGGTGAAGGCCGCCCGCACCCCTGCTCCTGCAGCCCCGGGTCCCACCGAATGCCGAGGAGGCCGGACCAGCCGGACTTGGGCTTGGTGCTTCCTCCACTGCCCTGCAGAGGCCGTGCTCCACGCAAGTACAGCACCCCCAGGACTCACAAAAGAAAAATAGGTCTGGGAAGGCGAAGACTCGATTAGAGGCCAGAGCCTGGAACGGTTCCCTCCCTGAACTTTGCTTGCCCGGATTTAGGTGAGCAAGAGCTCAGGCCTGGATGCAAGACCCCAGCTCTTCCGCTCCACGCCGCCAGCCGCAATGGCTGCAGCTTTGGCAGAGTGAGCCCGCTGCTAAAGCCCTAGCTCCCTAGCTCTGGGCCAAATTCTGTGACGGCCTCTGCTCAAATGCTCACTTATTTTCACTTTTATTATGAAACAGTGAATTTCAAACGGCCTTGGACCCCTCTTGTCCGCTTTTCCAGCCCCCGCCCTGCTCTCTTTTACCAGTCCCGCTCAGCAGAGTGGAACTGCTTCCTCTGCTCCCGCCACCGCCTGCCTGTCACTCGCCGCGCGACCCCGGCCTGAGAGCAGAGAGGGCTCCTTCCTCCAAGGTGGGCGGCGAGAGAGCAGCGATTACCTTCATGTGTTTGCGAAGCGAGCTGGGGTGCGTGTAGGATTTGTCGCACATCTTGCAAAGATAGGGCTTGTCGCTCGTATGCACGTGCATGTGCTTCTTGCGGTCGCTGCTGTTAGCGAATCGCCGGTCGCAGCCCTCGAACTCGCACTTGAAGGGCTTCTCCCCTAGTGCGAAAGGAAACAGAGGGGTCTGATTAGACCAAATCCCACGGCCATTTTTCAAAAATTAAAGAAACGGAAAAAAGTAAAAAAAAAAAAAAAAAGTACAACAAAATAAAGAGCCAGCAGCCCCGGATTAGCACTTTGCAAGCTTAGAAACCTGGGACTCCAGTAAATTCATTTATGTCCAATGGAACTGTAAATATCTTAACTATATTTTAACTTCCAATACATTAAGATCTACATTTTACTTTTAGTTTTTTTAAAAAATATTATTAGTGATAGTCTTTTTTAGATTCCAAAGTAGCAAAGATTCCAAAGTAGCATCAGGTCTGGAAGCTGGTTCTTCCGTTGAGGGCTATACACACAATTTCGGGTTGCTTCTACCTAGCTGCTGGTTTCTAGTTTTCATGTTGGGGATGGTTATCCAGCTGTTTTGCTCTTCTCTCCTCCCCCTACCCCCTCCCCGACGCTCCACACCCCCTTATCACCTCCCCCACCCCACCCCCTACATACATTCACTTTTTCATAGGGTAATCTGGGCCGGAGGGAGCTCCGCGCCTCAAATTCTTCCTTGACTCGACCATTAAACCTGAAGTTCCAAGCTTGGTTCTTAGACCTCTCCTATGCAAACCAGAACGGGGAAGGAGACCGAATCTCCAGCCTTGTGAGCACAAGGGGTCCAGAATGTCCAGCCTGACCCCAGACCACAACCCTGAGCTCCCCGGGAACTTTTTTTAAAAACTGTTGCCGACCTGTGCCTTTATTATTTTTGAAGGCCCAAACAGGGAATCTGGTGTTTTGAAAATAGCTCCCATAAAATCCAATTGACAAAAACGACTCCTAGTCTTCTCCCGACTCTCGCTATCCTCCAGCCCACTCTTAAAATCAGTCACTACAAAACTGGGCTCTTCAAATATGAATAAGCCTCCAAAAGCACCTTCAATCCTAAATTACTTCCTTTCCCCCTGCCTTTCTGTTTTGTTTCTTTCTACACCCCTTTACCCAATCTGTTCAATTTTCTCAGCCCTTTCTTTTGGCAAAATCCTCAACGAAGTGTGTGGAGAGGGATGTTGGCAGCAAACAAGTCTTTAGACTTGTCTGCAGCCTGAACGGCTGGCGCCTCTGCAGCTGCCCAAAGCCGGTCACCTCTCCAGGCTTTGAGCGCACTAAGGGATCCGCCAAACCAGGCTTGGCTTCCTATTCTCCTAATCTTTTTTGATTCTCGTTTTTAAAATCTTTATCCTCATATCCTTCTCGTTCGCCCTCTAACTTTTTTTTCATTTTTCATAATTTCAAGCCCCAAACTAAAAATTAGCGCACACTTTGCCTGCCTCCCGGAATCCGACCCGGGGGACCCACCGAGCTGGGTTTGTGCCCTGGGCACTGACTTCCGAATTTTGGGTCCCAGGCCCAGGATAGGGGGATGGGGGTTGTACAGCTGTTTCCGTACCTGTATGCGTCCTTTTATGGATCTTTAAGTTCTCGGAGCGCGCGAAGACCTTGCCACAGCCAGGGAAGGGGCAGGGGAAGGGCTTCTCACCCGTGTGGACGCGGATGTGGTTAACCAGTTTGTATTTGGCCTTGAAGGGCTTGCCCTCGCGCGGACACTCCTCCCAGAAGCAGATGTGGTTACTCTGCTCCGGACCGCCGACGTGCTCCACCGTGACGTGCGTGACCAGCTCGTGCATAGTGCTGAAAGTTTTGTTGCACGACTTTTTGGGGTTGGCCAGCTGCTCGGGCTCGATCCACTTGCAGATGAGCTCTTGCTTGATGGGTTGGCGCATGTATCGGAAGAAGGCGCCGGCGCCGTGGTGCGCGGCCATGTTCACGTTCATGGGACCGTAGCCGTGCAGCTGCGGCGCGGCATAGTGCTCGGAACGCGGGCTGGTGACTTGGCCGTACTGCTCGGGCCGCGGGTACATGTCCCCCGAGAAGCCGAGCCTCATCTGCCCGTTGACCACGTTGGGCGACGCGTGGCCCGCAGCCTGCTCGTGAAGCCCGGGGAAGAGGAGGTGGCCCGCGGCGTCCGTGTGGCCGTGTGGGCCCCCGAAGCCCCCGGCCGAAGCGGCGAAGAGGCTGTGCTGTGCGCTGGCTGCCGCTGCCGCGTCGCCAAAGCCCCGGTTGCGGAACAGAAAGTCCCGCGTGGAGTTGAAGGCTGCGCTGGAATACGAGCCGACGTGGCCCGGGTGGTGGTGATGGCCCAGGGCCGCAGCAGCTGCGTAGCCCGGCGCCTGCGACGTGAAGGCCGTCTGGCCGGCCGAGGCCAGTTCGTGCGAACTGGGGTTGAGCTTGAAGGCGCCCATGCCGTCGGCGAACGGGTTGATACCCAGGCCCACGTCTCGCTCGGCCACGTCGCCCGCCGAGTGGTGGCGGGACGCGCCAAAGGTGGTCACGCCGATCGCTGGGTACTGGGGGCCGGCGTCCAGGAGCATCGTGGCTGCTCGGGGCGAGCCCCGGCCTCCCCCGCCCCCCCCACCCTCTCCCGCCGAGGAGGGAAAATCGGGAGGAGGAGGAGGAAAGAGAGGCGGAGGAAGAGGAGGAAGAAGAGGAGGAGGGAGGGGGAGTCGACCCACCTCGCGAAGTCCTAGCCTGCAGGCAGCAGCGAGGCGCGCCCGGGCGCTCGCCCGGCTAAACGCTGGGAAGCCGGACGGTTGCGGGCCGCGAGTACCGCAGGCTCCAGCGCCCGCCAGGCAGACCCAGCTGGCCCGGCTCACACTTTCTCGCCGTTCAGTCTCTGCCGAGAGGGCCCTGCGTCAAGGCTGCCCGGGGAAAAGCATGGAGCATCTCAGCCCCCCAAAAAAACTTCCTCCCGGATTTGTAGCATAGAGGAATGTGAGCGCCAGAGCCGCGACTGCTCGCCCTCTCTCCGCCTCGCTCCCCTCCTCACTTCTCACTAGCCCCTCGCCCTTTCTTTTCTCTCTCTCTCTTCTCTCTCCCTCTCCTTTCTCACAGGCTTGTCTCCTCGCTCCTTCACTCTCCTTTTTTCCCTCTCTGCTTTTTGCAAAAAAAAAAAAAAAAAAAAGTGGGGGGGGGGAGAAGAAAGAAAGAAAAAGCCAAAGAAAAGGCGCAAATCATGCACAATATTGTCTTTTGCGGTTTATCTTCCTGGGGAGAAACTTTCACCTCCTCAGCCGGGCGGTGAGCGCGAGACTGATAGCAGCAATCATTCCTGCAGATAAATGAATTGAAAGGACGACACCGTCCCCCCCTTGATGAATGGGAGCAGGGGGAGGCGTCACGTGCTGCCGACGCGGGTGCCCATTGGTGCGCCCGCACTCCCCCCGCCCGCAGCCGCCGCGCCAACGGAGGGCGCGCCGAGGCGCTTCGCGCCGCTCATTGGCCCGCCTGCCTCATCAATCCCAGGTATTGTAAAGCGCTTGACATCCCCTTTTGACAAACAGGGCTGCCAGGAGTAGCAACTTTTTTTTTTTAGCCAAATTTTTTCCCTCTTCTCACGGAAATTTTTTTTTGCCACGATTCCCTTTTCTTCTCACAGTCATATACATTCCCCCCACCACCCCCTCGCTCGCTCTCGCTAGTGCTCGCTCTCGTCCTTCCTCGAACCTGCTCTTCGCTGAGCGTTCCCGGACTTCGGGCGTCTCCGAGACCAGGAGGCGGGATGGGGCTGGTAAATACAGCAAAGGCACTTCCAGAATGTCCCGATTCAGCAACTTTCTTTTCTTTCTTCCCCCGTTCACCCCTTCAAGGGCAGCAAAGGAGGCTTTTGTTATTTGCTCCTTTTGAAGTTTGCTTCCCTCTTGCCTGTTCCCCCTCCTGTTTATAATTTAAGATCTGCGGAGCACACGGGCACTACGCTCTTTTTACAAGAAATGTGATTTCTCAGTATAGCTGGTAGCCTTGATTTTTCTCACTTTTATCAGGTCAGACTTCCTGCGCACCCCCCACCCCAGCCAAACAAACACAGGTGAATGAGAGCTCTTAACTTTCCAGATTATTGAGGTTTGATTTTTTTTAATGGGAAATGTTTTTGTCAATTTTCTTTTCTTTTTCCCTTTCTTGCGTTATTTTTCTCTTTTCTCCCTTTTCCTTGTCTCCCACATCTGCCCCAGCTAACCCTCTCCGTTTGCACTCCTGTTCCCAACCCAGGCCCCTTTCATTCAGGTAAAACTGTAAATTTCCCAACGCGCCATTGTTCATCTGGACTGCCCAGAGCTCCCTAGAGATCCCCAATACTTTTTTGGTATTTAAATCCCCAATAGATAAGACCAATGTAAATTTTGTGACATTCAAACCTTTTCTAGTTCACAAATCAGTCACCCTTGTCACAGTTATTGAAATTCCGCAACTCGCCACACCAGGACGGTGGAAAAAGCGGGCGCGGTCTTTGTTGCCGACCAGGCTTTTGATCGCCAGAGAAAATTTACTTACCTTCAGATGAGTGAGCAGAAAAAGAAATAACACTCCCTTTGATTTAGTTAGGAAAATGCAGACACTTGGATTCAGTGCAAACATACAACACTCGCTTGTTTTCGCGATGCGGCCCTCGATTAACCTGTCTTTGCCTAGCGCAAAGTCTATTCAACAACTGCGCCTAGTTGCTTTTTGTCCCGTCCACAAAGAGCCATTGACTATATATTAAAATGATTGTTGAAAGGTAGAGAAGTATAGCACTTAAAAGCAGAAAAAAATCCCTGTGACTCAATCAATTAAGCCGAGCAACATTTATGCATTTCAAAAAAATGCACGCGGATGCTGGGGGTTGGGGGATGAAGGTTGCATTTCTCCGTAGCTCTGTGTTTAAACCCCAGCAGCCTGGGCCGAGGGTTTAGTCTAAGCGTCTGCATATTCATTAGGTCTAATTATTTTCTAGTAAGGAAAACACAAAAAGCCAAGAGTCGGAATCCTTCAATTTGCCCTTTGTTTCTAACTTCATTTGGCTTCTTTGCAGCTGAATCAGAGCCCTAAACTCTTTTTGCAAACAAAGAAACCTCAACTCATCCTTTCACAGGCGGCCGGGTTAGGAAACTCACCAGTGCCCGGGCGAGAAGAAAATGATAATGAATATTTTTTTTTTTTGCCCGGTCGCCAGTGAGGGTTGCACAAGCTGGAGGAAGGCAGGGTCAGGGTCCGCCGCTCCTCGCCTTTCTGGTTTTCTGGTCTTCTCACCGACTAGATTGTCGTTTGGGGCTGGCGAGCGGGGCTGCCCTTTCCTTGGGTTCTTCGGGCTCAAAAGTCCACTTGTGTATCTAGGATGATTTCCCGGTGTCTGAAGGGACCTGGCTGAGCATTTGCGCTTGTGCCGGGAAATAGAAATTCGAAAAGGAAAAAAAAAAAAAAATCAACTGTTCTGTTCCCAGCAACAAGTCTGAGTCCACAAGCTCAGCATTCTCCCACCAACTTTGAGTGGAACAGAGTGAGGAGTGGAGGGAAAAGGCTGGGACTTGGCTTTTTTTTTTTTTAATTATTATGCACTTTGTTAAAAAAAAAAAAGATATATCGGAGCAGTTCAGTGTTTTCCGTTACCTACCAAGGGGAAGTGGGATCCTGCTTTCCCTGGAGTTGTGAAAACGTTATCTACAAGGAAAAGTTTTCTCTAGAGGCTGTATTCCTCTCATTAGGGAAAACAAATATTGAACCCACCTTGCCTGCCTTTCACAAAAAAAAAAAAAAAAAAACAAAGAAAAAGAAAAGAAAAAACAAGGGAGGGGACCTGAGGGGGAAGGGTGGCCGTTGGGAGGGGGAGAGGGAAAATAATTCTTCAAAAAAGAAATCAGTCTTCTCCTCTTCAGTCCGCGGAAAATCCAACGGGGACGTTGACAAGAGGGTATTTTTAGGAAACGCGTCCAAATATACAGGGTAAGAGTGAATGTGAGAAAAAAAAAGTTGTGGGTTGTAGAAGTTATCAAGTGGGATTTGCGGCGCTCTCTGCAGGCAACGCGAGCGGCTCCAGTTCAAAGCCACATGCACCAACGTGACATATAAGCCATTAAAATATCATCCTGACGGCTCATTTCTGCTTCATCATACATTCCCTAACTGCTTCCCGAAAGCTGGAAAAGGAGAAATGAAGGATGACCGCCTCGCTGGAACCACAAAAGAGAGGCTTGGAGGGGTTTGTGGTCCCCCCTCTGCCACCCCGAAGTGATGTGCAGAAATGAGGCGACCCCGGCAACAGGTGGAGTGGGGTAAGTGCGTGAGTCCAAGGGGCAGACAGGAGAGACCTGTACCCCCAGCAGCAGCCATAGCAAGCGCCCTCATGGGGGGCCGTTGGCACCCAAACCCCAGTGGGGAAGGAGGCCCAGCCAGACTTTCTCCCCCATCTCCTCCTTCATTGCTCCCCCCAACCGAGGATATAGGCCCCACCCCACTGACACTAAGGGAAGGAGGGGGCCCTTCCGCTGAAGGGTAGCGCTGAGGATGAGTCCATCTCTTCTTCCCAGGAGGAGGGGAAGAAAGGGGGACAAATGGGGCTCCCACTGGCATCGGAACCAAGAGTAGCTTGTTGCCCGCCTGTCTTCATTTCTCTCCTGGTAAATTGCCTGGGTACCCCAACATTAGGACAAGAAGGATAATCGTGGCTCGGAGCTTCCCTCGCCAGAAGTGAGCGCCTCCCCTGCAGCCCCCTCCCCCCGCGCGCCCATCCCCCCCCCAGCTCCCGGGAGGGGGGCCCAGCAGGCAGCTTTTTCTCCCTGCCCCCAGGAGGATAGCCCGAAAGGTCTTGGCTTTCCCTCTCCGGGGTCAAAGAGCCAAGTTAGCCCAGCTGGCAGCAAGACGATGGAACTTCTCCGCCCTAACCTGACAGCAGAGGCGGGTCCTGCCTCAGGACTCTGACCGCTGGGATTCGCTCTCTGTGTGCGGCCGGCGGTGGTTTCGGGACTTGGCTTGCTTTCTCCTGGTTGCAAAGGAGGTCTGCGACTAGCTCTCTGGGGAGCAGGCCGCAGCTCCTAGGATTCTGGCTAGACCCACGGGCACTGGAAATTAGGGGCAAGTGAGAAGAGAACTAAGTTGGTCTGTGAAAGAAAGCTAGGACTTGCTCGAAGGCTGGACCTGAAAGTTTGGGGTCGACCAACCGCCCACAGGAACAGCTGGGAGTCAGCAGAGTATTAAGAATGGAGAGAGGGCCTTAGGAGGGCTACACCTCGGCTGGCACTGTCTCCCTGAAATTCCTTTTGGATTCTAAGGTCATATTTCTCCCCGCTTTTCGACCTATTGGCCTCACAGCTACCCACGCCACTGCACCGCTTTCCCTTCCTCTATCTCAGCTACCTGCAGGTTGGGGGAGGAAAGGATTCAAAGGGAGGGTTCAATGCCCAGGCTGATCCTGCGGGTGATCCACTGATGCAGACTCTACTCTAGGCACGGGGAGGCTTCCCAGCCTTCAGCCCCGAGCTAGGGAACCTGAGTTCCTCTCTCTAGGGAACAGGAGAAGGAGTAAAGGCCCTTGCACAACCCAGTCTCACAGTTCAACCTCCCTGGCGCTTGAAGGCCAGATGGAGGGATCCAGAAAGGTGTGAGGTGCAGCTGGCAGCAGCAGACAGCGGGCAGAGGTCGGGAGCCGTTTCTTCTCTGGCTCGCGAATTCCCAGTTTAGGGCTTTTGCTCTGCGCCCTCCAGGGCTGAGCTGTAGCGGACAGGCGGACGCGCCTTTGCTGCCGTGCCTGAGGGTTAATCATTGTGGAGTGGGTCGGGAACTGAAGTCGCTGGCTGCGGCTGACCTCTGACCTTAGTCAGGCCTGCACCGGCTAGGTGGATCCCACAACGTGCAGATTCCGCCGCCTGCAAATAAAAATGGTGCCTTTTGCACGTACCCCCTGCCTCATCTTCTTGGCTCTCATCTGGCACTATCAATCACTGGGGCTCCCTAGCACCCTTTCCTCTTCTGAAGGTGCGGGAAGAAGACAGATTGTAAAAAGTCTCCAGGATGTGCTCCCGACTGGTAATTTTGTGGCCTTGGCTGGTGTGGGGAGCAAACATTGGGGAAAAACCAAACAGAGACCTTTGTGAGACTCCTATATCCTGATGTTAGTGGGGACCTCAGGTCCAGGGGCCCAAGGACTGCTCCCAAATCCTGTCACCCCTCCTTTAATGAGATGACTGGCTTGCTTGTTTGCTAAGTGGTGTCAGAATTTGAACTAAAGGAGATGTTTACCGTGGTTCCTTATACAGGCAGGGTGCTAGAACTGCCAGAGACAGCCTCTTAAGGTGCCTATTGCCTGCCTTAGACCAACCTCTGCACCATTTGTTTGCATGTCTGTGGGTCTGCAATACACAAAGGGCTGACAGGACCTAGGGCAGAAGTGACCCAGACCTCTTAGAAATTGGGTTGGGGCAGCATTGTGGGTGGACAGAGGTCTCTAGGGAACCTCACACCCATTTCCCTCAGAAGAAAAAAGTAAATTCTATTATTGCCAACCAACCAGGACTTTTCCGTGCCAGACATCCTGCCATGAGGAAATTTCAGAGCGAGGATGCCCAGCATGCTGCCCTTCTGTAGGAATGCAAAGTTGGGCCTCCTTTCTTTCCTGATTTGTGCTGGAAGGAGCTTATAACCTTTGGGGAAGGATGCCTTTTGGTTAGAAAGAATTGAAAATAAATAAAACCTTCCGGGAAAAGGTGAGTCTTACCCCCTACCTCCCAGGCCTGGACCTAGAAAAAAAGGGAAAGGAAAGGTGAAACTGTCAAGCTTGTTGGAGTCCGGGTTGAGGGTTGAGGGGGAGAGAACGAGATCTTTGCGGGTTGGGGGTTGAGGGGGAGAGAATGAGATCTTTGCGCATAGAGAATTTGATACCCTTTGAGATAACAGAGTCCCACTTGGATTTGGCCTGTAGTTCAACAAGTTAAACAACCGCTTGTTCTGTAGGCTGCAGTGTCAAGACAGGCAGACATCCTCACTGACCGAGGACTTGCTGTGTTTGTCCAGCCTGAGACCTTTTCAATGACTGTTTGTCTTTCTAGGCCAAATTGAGGGTCACGGCTGGGTGGATCACTTCTGTTTGGCTGTTCAACTGCCTTCAGCCTTGCCTGACAAATATAGAGGTCCTCAGGATGGGTTTAAGAATTTAAGATGGCCAATGGCTTGGTAGCTCTAGCCACAAAGTGAATCTGAAAAGCAATGCATATATACCTTTGGGGAGTGTTATCTCTACTCTTCTCAACTATGAAATGGGGACAGTCTGGCCCAAATGATAAAAGCAATACCTTTTAAATTTGGGGAATTTTATAATAACTTTGAAAAATCAAGTAGTGATGGGTCTTCCTGCTGGGTCTGAGGATGTGGGAAATATGTAGCTAGTGTTCCACACGGACATAAAGAGAACAGGGTTTGAAAATCTGCAAAGAAATTCCTTTCCTCTCAGTTCCAACATTTCTAACTCAAATTTTAACCTGCCATCCTCTCAGATAACAGTGGGCTTTCCTCACCACACCTAATTAAATTCAATTAATAAATTTGAAAAATAATGGGGGTTCCAGTAAATTCAAATTCTAGAAGTTATGGATTTTTTGAGCATTGACTGAAAGAGCGCTTACTTGTACTTGCAAGGCAGGACAACAAATAAATTTCAGATAAAAGTCTAGCTGGAAAATTATTATTTTCAATATTTTTTTATCACCAAAGATGTATTAGTTTCCAATAAATATTGGGCAGTTCCTAGCAGAGTCCTTTTCTTTAGCTTCCAAATTTAAAAATGGTCAAAGACTGAAAGACTATCTTTAGAGCAACACCTTTTTTCATTTATACATTCAGGCCAAAGAATCTTGCCACACAAACATGTATGAAATTGTTTAACTGTTGACTGTTACTGTTTTCTTCCCAAACAGGCTCAAAGTCAGAAAATGAGATACAAGACGTCCTTGGTGATGAGGAAACGGTTACGGCTTTACAGAAATACTCTGAAAGAGTCAAGTAAGTTAAATATACTCTTTTGAATATTGGTTTGCTGAGGTCTTTTTGTTTTTTTTATATTTTTAAGTAGTATTATTTTGTCTTTTGGTTATGTTGGATTGTGGGTTTGGGGGTGTTGCTTGAGTTCAAAGGAAACTTGGAATAACACCTTGGTGTTTGATACATTTGCACACAAATCAATGACACAACGTCCCACAGGCAGCTGGCTAATCCCCCTCAATGCCTACTCATCTGGATGTTCTAGAATTAATATTTGATGACTCTCTCATTGAAACAACCACCCCTGACCTTCCGCAATTCCACTGTCACATTATTCTATGACATATTCATCTTGAATTCATTTCCGGACGATTTGATTGGAATGAGGTTTGACATGTATTGGCTTCCATGAAAGAAGCAGACTTTGATCTTGGTGATGGGGTTTACATGATATACATCAACTTTACCAGGGACACCAGCCTTCTGCAATGTGGCAGGGACGACGTTCCCACAATGTGGTGTCTGAACAGGGAGTGACTGACAGCCACTCTGTCAGGAATACCTTCATTGTGGAGAATTTAATTTAATATTCCATTTAGAATAAGCATATGATTTAGGGTTGGGTGTTTTCTCTTCTAAGAGTCTAGTTTTCTTCATTTCAACTACACCACTAGCTGATAGTTGCCTCTAAAGATGTTCCCTTCTTGGTAGGCAAAGCAACCGTCTTTACAATAGTTGAATAGACAACTCAGAATATGGCTCTCTTCTATTATTTGGGGATGATTTGATGGCAGAAGTTGAGAGAGAAAGAGAGAGAGATATGTTGTTATTATGTAAATTCAGTTGTTTTGATTCCTTAATGCTGTTTTGGAAGATCCGTTAGCAATGTTTCCTAATCTTCTGTCAAAGGACATTTTGCAGAATCCTTGCTTGAAAGTTGAATTCTATCCAAGTGTATTTTCAGCTTCATTAATGATGATTAAAGCCCAAATTTCCATAGCAGAAAAGAAGAATATCCTCCTTTATTTCCAAAATCCTGATAGTTTTCATCTTCTTTGCACAATTTGGGCTTAGACATATGGGCAGGCTCCTGGGGCTTAAATTATTTCTTTGCATAAGACTAGAGACAACCTTCCACTGCAGGAATCCTGAAGTCTGTCTGCAAATGGCCTCTAAAGAGATTTGCTTCTTGTTTAGGGTGTCAACCTGGCCAGAAACGGGGAAGAAAGAACTGAACAAGTGACTGCAGAGCTAGATACAGAAGATTCATGTAACAAAGCTTGTGCTTGGCCAGCCTCTGTACAGTGGCCCTCAGTCTTGGGACACTGCTTTGGGCATAACAAACAATCTCATTTAGCATTGCTTAAGAGATGGAAAAATGGAAAAATAGCCTAGCTATTGATCTGCAATCTCCTCCATTTCTCTTTTCCTTTCCAAGGGAGAAATTTGAATCAGTAATATGAAAAGCTCTGGCAGATGGTTGGACCACCAAATGTCTTATTCCTAGAAAGTTGGACTAGAAAAATCACTTGTCTATGCCATTGCATCAGTCTGGCTGAGGTAAAGAAAAGTGCTTAGGGAATAACTCCAGACACTGGTCTGCAGAAGCTCTGGAGACTGAGGGATGTTTGGGGTCTGGTGGTGGAATCTGCTGCAAATAGGCCCCCATGAAAAAAAGTTTCCAGTGCATCTTTTTGACATCTACTAAAGATCTGTGGGTTGTAGGATATTCTTTTTCTCTGCAAATAGAGCAGGAATGTGGGCTTACCAGTGCTGCAACACTGCACATGGTTAGAAATAGAATGCTTCAGCTTTTGGTGTTGAAGGCACATATAGAGAGGTAAGTTTCTGAAGAAAAATCTGAGGACTACTGAGGGTACACAATTCCTGACCAATTGATAAGCTCTGAAACTTGGGCTCCTTGCTTTCTGGACTCTGGAAGACTCCAAGGGATCCCTCTAAAGACCAAATTTGCCTTCCAAACATTGGAATCACACCATCTGTCATTTGTGGTCAACTTGATACTGCTTTGGTGCTTATTTAAGAGATACACCTTGAACATTCTTAGGTAATTTCCCAAAGTTCTTTATCTGTAAATATTAGTGACACAAAGAAGTTTTTTTTCCTTATTGCTATCTGTGGGGAAATGTCCTGCTCAGAGAATGTCTGGTCCCATTGCTGTGTTTAGCCAACCAAGATATAGACCATATGGTTCCAAAGAACTTGCAATGATTAGGCAACCTCAGTGACCTGCCAGTCGCCTGACCCCTGGCTACTCAAGCAAGCATCTACCCCGATAGGTCCAGATGTTTTCAGCACTTAAAGAGAAGGCTGCATCTGGGAAGGAGCTCCATGGGGCCAGGCTACTGTCAGTGATTTTGGCTGAATCAGATGTGTCTGCCCTTTTGCTGCTGGCACAAAAAGTCATACATAGGTTCAAAGCTTTTCAAAGGTGAAGTTATTAGGAAAGAGTGTAAAATGCTAAAAGTCTATGTGTATAAAACTTCATCTTCTTATCCCTGGAATCCACAGAGCCAGTGGTTAGAATCCAGGGGTTCCATAAACTTGGATGGGAAAAAAATGCATCTTCATTTTCACAACATTTTATTGAAATGTTAGCATTTTATTTTATTATGAATATAGGCAGCAAACACAGAACTATTAGGAATTCAAGCTCACCAGGCTTCCAAGGAAGTCCACAGCCTAAAACAACTAAAGACCCCTGTCCTGTCTGTACAGTTATTCAAAGCTTGTAATGAAGATGAGGTCACAGTGTATATATTAAGGGATCCATATTGTGCAAATTAGTCTTAAAGCTAAAGCAGATGATGAATTTGACAAACATCCTGGACAGTTGGTTATAGATCACCCAAGTTCAAATGGGAGAGAAAATATTTTAGTTGCTGGACTATTGTAGAAGTTTGCTTGCACTTAGGCCTGAATGCCACAAAAGTTGACTAAGCTTTGTGTTGAGGTATGGACTATAGAAACAGCTGGGCAAAAGATCTCAGAGAAGAACACATTCTCTTTTTGTTTTGTTTGTTTTGGTTTTGATTTTAGGCCTTTTGGAGGGGGCAGCCTTTTATGAGTTCAGCTCAGAATTGCCTAGACAACAGCATTATTCAACAGACACCTGTGAGGGAGGGGACTTTAAACAATTCATTGAGATGTGGAAACACCCTGCTAGAAGTGAGGCCTGGCCAGTACTTGGAGGAAGGGAAAACAGGGCAAGGGATGGGAGAGGAGGCACCTCTGAGTGGAAGGGTAAACCCTAGAAAGTGAGCAGTGTGAAAAAAGGTGAAAGCCAAGAAAGAAGACAAACCTTCAATGTCTAGTTTCAAAACCACTGGGTGGAAGCCCTTGGTTTTGAGAGCAGGAGTGGTCTGGCAGTCAAATGCTCTTTTCTCATGTTTTAATACAGCATCTATTGGTAGAGTTACCCAAGCTCTTCCTGTGAAGGAGCAGAAAGACCTGGGCTTGTCAAAATGAGAGAAATTGTTGTGGAAGTTAACCCCTAGATAAAGTGCAGCCCTGAGCAAGGAACAGTGCATTATTAAATGAAGAAAGTCTAAAAGAATCTTCAAACCATTATAAAGAAGTTAATTATTTCCAAAAATTTAAAAGAAAGCCTTATTTGCTGACCAGGAAATCTGTAAGAATAGTCCTTGGTGCTGGGGATGGGGGTGGGTTTCAATCAACTAGGAGTTAGAGTTCCCTGGAATCTGCCCAAACTTCTTAGATATGCTAAAGGGGTAAGGGATATTTCACTCAATCCTTAAAACTTCTCTTAAAAATTCCAAGACTTTCTCTGGGGAGTGCTTTCTATGACTGCCAGGGAGGCCTGAGCACTTAAGCTGGCATTTTCGGCCAAATTGAGCTAGGCAGGGGGCCTGGCCAGCAGCCCTTTAAATCTCCAGACGTTGCAGCTGACCCTAGCCTGTGGGCGCAAACAAAGGACACCTCCTTTCTGCCCCCCCCACCCCACTTATGGCATACTCGACTGGGCCAGAACTGAAGTTTTTTCAGCTGACCAACCACCTCACAATAATGGCGCCTGCAACACTGGGGGTCTCTTGCTAGTGGAGGCCATGAGCCCGCAGGCCCTCTGAGTCTGGGGTGGGAAACGTGGCGTCCTCTCTCTGCAGAGTTCTAAGGTGATGCAGAGGGAGGCAGAGGCAGGCAGAGGCTCGGCCTTCAGGCAACAAGTGGCCAGAGCTGAAAGTGGAAGTCATCCTTAAACCTCCTTTCTCAGAAGCTCCCTCCGAAACCAGGGTAAAGAGTGCAGGACGCCGGATTGGCCAGGGGACATCAGGGGGCTAGAACCTGTTCCTTCTGGTTGCACGCCCCTCTCCTTTGTTTCTTGGGCCAGCTGGCCCACACGTCTGTGGCAGGGAGCAGCGTCTCAGGAGGGCGTGAGTTCGAGGCCAGTCTCTCAGGTCATCATCGCCTCCTGCCTAATCCTGGTTCTGGCCAGATATTTGGGTTTGCAAGTATCTGAGCGCCAGGTACCGGGGAGTTGGGGCTTGCAAGGCCAAATGGGGAGAGCATAGAGAGGAAGGCGACGGAAAGAGGAAAAGAAAGGAAGGCAAAGTAAGGTAGGAGGTTTGAGGAAAATAAGAGAGACAAAGAGGAAGAGAAAGATGAGGAAAATGAGAAATTTCAGAGAAATCGAGAAAATAAAATTAGACCAAGGGCCGCCTGCCTAGGAGTTTCTCCGATCCTGACCACCCTAGTTTGCAGCCTCGCTTCCTTCACTCGATTCCTTCCCCCTCCACCTCCCGGTTCCTGGGGCAAACTGCCTAAGTAGTTTCCCATCCCTGCACCCAAGGTGCTACCCAGCAACACCAACCCGGCTGCAGAGAAAACATTACGGACAGCACAATGCCCCTCCCCTAAGTTGTGAATGGAGGCATAACCCAGCCCAGCTCACTTCCAGGAGCCGAGAGGCAAAGCCATCCACCCAGCTTTCAAGAAAGGAGGGGGAAGAGGCTGAGGGGGAGAAAAAAAGAAGCTGTGCCCGGGTCAGAGCGCATGAGCAGTAGAAGCGTGAGACGCTGTGGGGGTGGGCGGGCGGGGGAAGGGGGGGGCGAGGGGTGGTGGGGGGAGAGAGAAAGAGAGAGAGACCGCGTGCGGCAGGACCTGTCATCACTGACGTCGGGCCCGGCTGCAGGCCAATGAGCGATTTAGGCGATTGTTCCTCTCCGTGGGCCCGGGCTGCGGCCCGAATCTCTATTCACTTCCTCACGCGCTCCCCGCTGCTGCCTCTGTAGTTTAGGAGATTTCACGTAGGCATTAAAGACCAAGAAAGAGAAAGGGGGTGGGGAAGCCCAAACTCAAAACTTGGGGGGGGGAACTTTGCAGAAGTTTTCTGTGGTTGTCATTTACCCTCCCCACTGTCAGGTGACCGTGGCGTGAGCGGCCTGGCACAGGGAGCTTCGGGGAGCTCTGGCCGGCAGGCAGCAGGCCGCCCTCTCTCAGCCAAGTGGGACACTGAAATTAATATATATGGCTGTGGCGCTACAGAACCACCACCACTTTCACCACCTTCCACATCACCACTTCTATCACCTCCATTCCCTGGCAGGGCACCGTGCCCGGGAGCACCCTGGGGTGTTCGTCGCCAAAGTGCACTTGGGGTGCAAGTCAGATCCCTTTGGAGCAGAGACCCCAGGAACCCATAGACTCAGCCCTCCGCTTCCTACTGCCCCTTTCACCTATCCCGCCGCCACCAACCTTCTCCAGCTCACGGTGCGTGCGGCAGGGGACTCAGCCCAAGAGCCACCCGGCCCAACGGCTGCGGAAACGTTTTGCCTTGCTCTGTTCACCCGGTTCACTGCTGGCGCCGTTTGGCTCCCAATCCTACCGCTGACGGCAGAAGCTGTGGTGTGGCTGGGTTGGGCCTGCCCCCCGGGGCCCTGGGAGTGTGCAGCCCACGCCACCCATTCTCATGCGCGCTATTTGTCTCAACAACAGGTAGCAGCTCTGGACACCATGGCCCCCAGCTCGCCGCCGCCTCCAGCCCCTCGGTGTTCCCGGGCCTCCACGAGCAGCCTCCCCAGGCCTCCCCCAACGGTCCTTTGAACGGACTCCTCCGTCTGGGGCTCCCAGGAGACATGTATGCGCGGCCAGAGCCTTTCGCGCCTGGGCCTGCGGCCCGCAGCGACGCCCTGGCAGCTGCCGCAGCCCTTCATGGCTACGGGGGCATGAACCTGACCGTGAACCTCGCCGCACCCCACGGTCCCGGCGCCTTCTTCCGTTACATGCGCCAGCCCATCAAACAGGAGCTCATCTGCAAGTGGCTAGCGGCTGACGGCCCCGCGTCCCCGCGCCTCTGCTCCAAAACTTTCAGCACCATGCACGAGCTGGTCACGCACGTCACCGTGGAGCACGTCGGCGGCCCGGAGCAGGCCAACCACATTTGCTTCTGGGAGGAGTGTCCGCGCCAGGGCAAGCCCTTCAAAGCCAAATACAAACTTGTAAATCACATCCGCGTGCACACGGGCGAGAAGCCCTTCCCCTGTCCTTTCCCGGGGTGTGGGAAGGTCTTTGCTAGATCAGAAAATCTCAAAATACACAAACGAACTCACACAGGTCAGTATTGGGCGCTCTCTGTCTCGTTCGGACCCTCTGGGGAAGCAGGGCCTCGGGTCTGAATTTCCTCAAGTTCCAACTGGGTGGGCAGGGAGGTGGTGGGGAGAAGGTATTTTAGTGTTGTTTCTATGAACCAAGGTCATAAAATATTAATTTTGCGCTTCTATTCTTAGAATTACAGAAGTATCCGGAGGCTGTGTGTAGGGAGGATAGTGCGGGATTTCTGCTCTGGGGGACAAGGGTGAACGTGCCTGAGTCCCTGTGTGTGCTCTCTGCTTATGGAGTTTGATTTTAAGGTATTTAAAAACACTACTGTTTCCCCAAAGTCTTAAAGACATAGGAACAACTGTTTAACTTTTCCTGGTCCCTTTGGAATTGTGTGGCAGAACTCTTTCACCCTTTAGCCTGATAATCTGACCCACCTGGACTGGGGGCGGTCATCAGGCCCTTAGTGGCTTCTTTAGGACTTGGAGGTCTCATTGGCTTACTTTGGCCCTATTTTTGAGCCTTGCTGGCCTGACATTAGGGATGTTTGGCGAACCCTCACTTTTACTTTAGCAGAGACCCAACGGGACCCATCCACCTTAAATGTCATTTACGGAGCTGTTAAACAAAATGGGACATGTGTCAACCACATCTGTTAGTTCTAGTTAACAGAAAAAAAAGAAGTCCCACGCAAGAGCTTTTAAAGTTGAACTCCTCTGGCCAGAAGCATCTCTAATTAATGCAGTTGCAAGGAGAAAGTTTTCACACTTTCAGAACAGCCTGTGAAGTTACGTTAATTAGTTTAGCAGCCATTGTTTGTACTCTCCTTAGCCAGAGTTTTCTTGTTCCCCTCCCTCTAAGTTTAAGAAGTCACCATCTTCTCCCCTCCCCCATTTTTGGGGTGGGAGAAGGGGGCTAGTGGGGACCAGAGAAGATAAAGTAAGTTCCAGCCTGGTGCCCCATTTCTCCTACTACTCGGCGTCTTGCCTACTCATCCTTATGCTTGCTGTAACATCAACAATTATTAGAGTCAAAGAACTCCCTCAGGCTGGCATGCTAAATCCCGCCTCCCCCCAGACCCTCCCTTCTAGGGGAAGGTCCAGGGCCTGGACACTGGCACACACAGAAGCCAGACCAAAGTCCACTTTGAGTATTGTACTTTATTTCCGAGCTTGTCTGTCTGGAAGTGTACAGCTTTCCCAAGTTCTTTCCTGGGGTTTTTCCCACTCCCTTGCATGCACCTCACATACCCCCTCGCGAGTTTTATTCCCAGGAAGGGGGATAGGTGAGATCTTGATCCCGGCTCGCAGACTTGCTACTACAGGAGCTGGCGGCGAAACCCCCAGAGTAGATGCACAGTCTTGAGCTGAAGAAGGAACTCATCTGAAATACAGTTTTTATTTTTCAACAAACAAACAAACTTTTACTGCTCTTTGCCGGCCCACTGTTTGAAGTCTGTGAAGCAGAAAATGGTTAAATTCTTAACGCAATCGACCTACAGCACAGAAGCAAGTTCACTTCAGTGCGCTGGGGTTGGCTCAGGTTTGGGTCTATTCAGGACAGAACTCTGTGCGTTCTTTCCGCTTACGGTCCTGATTCATTACTGCTTGGGTTAAAAACAACAACAACAAAATCTTCGGAGCCTCGCCTGCTCTGATGTTTCCCTCAAACCCCCCTCCTAAGTAGTGAAAAGAGGAGAGGGAGGGGAAAAAACCTCAACAAAATGTTTCTCAAATGGCAATAGACCTCACTACAAATTATTCATGAAGACAGTTCTGGATTCAACAGGAAAATAATTGCCTTTTCAAATATTAATGGCGTTTCATTTCCTCGAGTCGCGGAAGCGGGAAGAGAAGCAGATTTCTCAGAAGTTGAGATTCTCCCTGATCTGAATCCCCGGCCTGGCTTTGGAGGCGACTGTCCCCGCCGAAAGGTTTCACTTTGTGCCGGTCACAGCGATTCCGGAACAATGGTGCTGCAACGAGGGTGGCGCGGGGCGGCCCCCGCACTCTGCTCAGCCCCTGCGGCCTGATGTCCTCCTCCCGGGACCGCTCGGGCGGGAGCTCGCCCCCACTTCCCCAGCGGCCGACAGAGTTAGGCTGGGGATCCGAGGTAGAAGAGAAGAGCCCGTGTCGGAGCGAAGTCGCTGGGACAACCAGACCCAGCCACAAGTGCGAGAAAATGGCGCTGTCCCGGCTGTCCCGACGCTTCCGAACTTTGTCAGGCGGGCTGGCGCGGGGTCGGGGAGGAGGCCTTTCAGGGCTGCAGATTCTCTGGGATGAGATTCCGGACCTTTCACAGCGCAGCCCCGGGCCCACCCTGGCCCAGCACTGTCTCCCCACCTTGACCCACCCACCCAGGGCGCAGTGCCCAGAGACGTGGGGAGGGTGAAGGACTGGAGGCAGTGTGTCGGTGGGGGAGGGGGTCTGGGGGATGTCAAGCAAGGAGACCAGGGTGCCTCCTACAGCTCCGGAGGCAGCAGGGCGGGGGGTGGGGGGAGACGCGGACGACTCGGCCTCACCTGGCCTCCCAGGGGCCTGCGAACTTCCAGGCTGCGGGTATCGCCTCAGTGCCCTGCCTTTTTCTCTTCCGCTCCTCATCTGGAGCGAAATTACTGTTTCTTTTTTTACGTTAATGTCCAACGAGGCGCTCAAGAGATGGGATAAGTGTGTGGCGGGAATTATTTCCGGGGAGAAGGGGGAACCAACCTCAAATTCCATTCCTATTCTGCTTTCTCAGACAGAAATCTTGTTTTCTTTTGCAGGCCCAGAATTGCATGATTTTTTGTAAGTGATTTTTAGAAAGAAAAGAAGTGAGGGAGGAAGGAAAGTTTTGGTTTTGTAGATGTTGGCAAGGATCAGAGGGGGAAAAAAGGAGGGGCAAATAGGAACACTTGATTTATTCTGCATCTTTCTCGTTGGTTTTCATAAAATGGTGCCAGTGACACTCGAAATGGCAGGTGCCAGCAGCTTCCTGAGCGAGAGCCCAGTGGTCTAGCAATAACCCTGCAAGATGAGAACCCAGAGGCTGGGTTTTGCGGGAGTCCCAGGCTCACAAGCCGCAGCCTGCGCGGAGACGCGGGTTGTGCGCAAACCCCTCCGCCTGAGCCTCTACAGGGCTCGGGAATAGGGGCTTTGTTTGCTCAAACCTGCCCCAAAGTGCCTGTCTTTCCTGGGAGCGGCGGGAGAAGCAACCACAAAGGCAACAGTCCTCCAGCCTTGCATCTCTTCCTTCTAGCGAGACGCTAGTTAGCTGTTTCCTTAACTCGGAGCGCCGCGCCGGACGGCAGCCATTTGTTCAAAGCGCCAAGATACCTTCTTCTCCCCTTTCCGCAGCATTTGTAGCTCCGGCAGGAACTTGGGCTTCCGGGTTTTCGGAGTCCTTTCCTCCCCTGCACGCCAGCGAATCCACGCGGCGGTGAGCGCCAGACTGGGGCTGGGTCCGGCTAGTATTTTCACCCTAACGCGCGCTCGCGCCTTCCCTCGGCTCTACAGGGCATCGCAGCTACCGATCGAGCTCCTCGCGGGCCTACCCCAACCTCCCGCTTGCCCTCCGGTCTGCGAAGCCGGACCTGGCCTCATCAAAGCAGCTGGTCTCTTCCCAAAGCCGCAGCGCTCAAGGGCGCGACTGCGGTAGAGACCTCGGATCCGGTTCAGGTCTGGGCGGACCCTGCCGCGCCAACCTCTTGGCTCAGGCTTGTGAGGCCGGACAGCTGGGTGGGGGTGGTCTAGGGAGACCGGTCGACCTCGCAAGTCAGTTCGGACTGGGAGGGCCAGCTGCCCACTGGTGGGTCTCCGGGAAGCCGCCGGAGCAGCGTAATAAAATATTATTGCCGGCGCGCTTATCGGGAGGGGTCCCGGACCGTTTAGGCAAGATTTGAAGAATGCTGCTAAATGTTTGCCCTCAGGGGGTAGAAGGGAAGGGGGAGGGGGCTCCATTTCCTGTAAAAATCGCCTCTGGAGTGAATCATTGCTCAGAATACCTTTCCCTGCAGCATGAATCCACATAATGCACACGCCATGTGCATCGGCTGCACATCCTTAAATTATTTTACTGGCCTTGGCGTTTGTACAAAACCAGCTTTAGGAAACAATTTGGGCCAGGATGGAGTGGGGGTGGAAGTCAACCGCTGGGTGGGGGTGGGAGTGGAGGACAGAGAGGTTTGGCTGGAGCAGTAACTTTAAATCCAGCAAATGTAAACTCCTCAGTTAACTTCATTCTCCGGGCAGAGGTACTTCTGACTCCGAGTGGAGAAAATTTGGAGGAAAATACCCGAGTGGATCAGGATTTTCGAGGATGGAAACTCGACTAAGATGGAGTCAATGTCGCTCCTCCTCCGTACCCTCCCCCTAAGCCTAGGCGGGAGAAGGGGAGGGGTAGAGGCGTGCAAGAGAGGGCGCCCGGGGCGCGCTCTCTGCGGAGAAGGGGGTGCCTGACTTAAGGCACCACGGAATCTAGAAATCTTTTGTGATTCTTTTCCAGAAAATACAAGAGGAATGGGGGAGGGTAGCGAGAGCGAGCTGGGGAGAAGGTCCATCAACACTAATGTTTCTGTGTTGTCTCCGCCAGGAGAGAAGCCCTTCAGGTGCGAGTTCGAAGGCTGTGAGCGGCGCTTCGCCAACAGCAGCGACCGCAAGAAACATTCGCACGTGCACACTAGTGACAAGCCGTACACATGCAAGGTGCGCGGCTGTGACAAGTGCTACACACACCCCAGCTCGCTACGTAAGCACATGAAGGTGCACGGACGCTCTCCTCCGCCGCCCAGCTCTGGCTACGACTCGGCTACACCGTCTGCCCTCGTGTCGCCCTCTTCAGACTGCAGCCACGAGCCCCAGGTGGCCTCCTCGGCGGCGGCGGCGGCGCGTGGCGCAGACCTAAGTGAATGGTACGTGTGTCAGGGCTCTGGCCCCGTGGGGGCAGCCCCCGCCGCTCCCCCCACTGCCGCGCCACCACCTTGCCCTGCTGCTGCTGCCGCCGCCGCCTCGGGTATTAGGGCTACTTCTGGGGTAGCTGCTTCAGCGTACACTGACTGCGAGTCTAGGCCAGGTTATTGAGGCATGAAGAAGGAGAGGGCGAGAAAGCAAGGAAGGAAAGAAGGAAGGAAGGTAGGAAAAAAGGAAAGAAAGCTGGCCACCACCAGTAGTTGTTAGAGCTCATTGAATATACTGATATAGTGTCCATTATTTTAAAGCATAAATATGGTCCCCATGTCTATTCTACATTCACACCCAGAACCACTGCCCACGTGTCCCACAGGCCCTCATGACTGGGCAGCATAAAACCAGGGTTAATGGTAAAGACAGAAAGGAAGATGGGAAAAAATTAGAAGAATTTATGTGCAATCCTGGCAACTGCAGGTAGCAATCGTAAAGCCACCAACTCCCCGCGTAGTTCACAGAATGGGAAAGGTTTTCCTTGAGGACTGGGCCTTTCCCACCCCTACGCGTTCCTAGCTCTCAGTCCGAGCATCTCACTCTTGCCTCTTTCCCCTCTCCCATCGATCTCAACCTCGAAAGTTCAGATCCGGGCAAGTGGCGGGAGAAATTCCAGAGCCATTTTCTTGCCTTCCATTTCTTTCCTTTTTTGCCTCCCTACGCTTTCCCCTTCTCCCGCTATCCTTTGAAACACAAATACAGAGGTCCTAAATTTTTCAACCACCTCTATAAAGGAAATAAGGGGGGGGAGGGTTCACTCCCTTCCCTGGGGGTAACATGCCCGGCCCTCATGGACCTTCCGGTGCACGCAGATAAATGTTTGTCTGCCTGTCGGTCCACAGACTTGATATACACTATATGCTTGGGGTGAGGGAGGAGTCCAAACAACAGGAAATACAAACAAAAGAGCGCTAGGGAGGCTTCAGGATTCAATGCTGTGAGGCCTCCCAGACCCCTTTCCCACCCCCCACCCCTGTGGAGGCGCTGGCGGTGAAATCGTGAGGGTGCTTGGGCTCCGGGTGTGTATCCGAGCCGGTGACGTCACTGAGTCGCGGCCTCCTTGGCGGAGGGACCTGACCTAGGCGGCAGTGTCTTGGGAAATCGCATAATTTCTGTGATGGTCTTTGTCAAAAATCGCACAATGTTGGTCTTATTTTAAAAAGGGGCGGGCTAATAAGAGTTGATGTGCAGTAATAAATATTATAAAGGCAAACACCCAATGGGATCTAGATTGAATGTGTATTTGATATGCTGGGTATGAAGTTCTCAGAAAAAAGAACCAGATGTTGGGGGTGGGGGCACAGAGATGAAGGCCTTCGCTATTGTTGTCAACGAGGGAAAGAATCAGGGCCTGTTTCCCCTTCCCTTTGCAGGGGGAATGGGGCTGCCCCGAAATCCTAGCTAAGATTTCAAGAAGAAGAAGAAAAGAAAAAATTAAAGCTTTGGTAGACCCATTCCAGTTTCCTAAGAATTTGTGTGTTGGGGGGAGGATATTTCCCCTCGGGAGAACCTCCTAAGGAGCTCAATTTTAAAAGTTGAGCCCAGCAGCAAACAAGTCCTGGCCCTATCACTTTGCTGAACTTTCTTCTGCTCTCTCCTCAGATACCGTTAAACAGTTCTCACTCAGGCCCCAAAGCCCCCACCACTTCTATCGATTAAAGTAATATTCTAACTTAAGTGGGACTGTTGCCCCACATAAAAACCTCAGTCTTCCAAATACTACATGCTTAGTGAATCGATCATGGGGGAGGTGGACTGCAATCCTCCCCCCCCCCCCCCCCCCCCCGCCCGCTACAAGAGGGCCCAGAGGCTGCCTAGCCCAGCGAGGGCAGTGAAACACCAGCCCTACCGCCAAGGTGCAGAGGGCATCTTCGGGACTTGCTCCTTCTGCCCAACTTCTGCGGATGGCTGACGTTTAAAAAGTTCACGTGCCTTAAATGGGACTCATTTTTTTCTTTTCCATTTCTAGTCTCCTCCCCCGCCCGTTTTGCCATCTACCCCAATCCAAAATAATGAAATAAAATAAAAATGTTTGGTCTGCCACTAATCGCCTTTAATTTTTCATTTGCTTGTTACAGATGTCCACCGCGTTGCTGGAAAGGTAATCTCGCTCCGCGCAGCTGAGCGCCCGCATCCCGCGCCTGCGACATCAAAGGACCCGCGCACAAAGCAGTGTTTCTTCGCCACGGTGCATCTTCATGGTAAGTTAGGATTTCTATGGCAATGGGCAAGTCGCACTGAAATCCTGAAAGGCCGAGCCTGGAGCCCGTCCAGGCTTTTCATTAAGGACATAATATTTACGTCTAACAGGCCTTTTTTCTTGTGTATACAAGTATATATTTTTGTTTGACGCGGACTAAATCATTTTCATTTAATTTCCGGTAAACAAAACCCACGCGAATGGGCACTTGTTCCCGATCATAATAAAAATGGATAATAATGTGAGGGAAGAAAAGGGCCGCTTGAATCGCAGCTCAGCCCCCTTTGTTTCTGCTTTCTGCGGTGATCAGAGGGCGCATTTGGGTTTGATGGCGAGTTTCTAAAGGCAAGGAAATGGTTTGTAAGAAGGGAAAGAAAAGGAGAAAGGTCTAATCAAGCTCGGGTTGTTCAAAGAGTTGGGTTTTGGGGTTGAAAGTGTGAGTTTGACGGTGCATCAGCATGCCGCGTTAGGCTCGCCATGGAAATGCGCGCGGGGAGCGGCCGCTTCAAAGGCGGCACACTTCACTGCAGACACTCTATTAAGATACATTTGCGCTGACCTTTGCTTTCACGCCATTTAATACTGTCACTGCGCTCTCCAGTATATACTTCCTCCCTAGGACCTGCCTCGCCCGCATTTAAGGGTTCACCCAGCGTCCTGATGTGGGAGGTTTTGGCGCAGGGGACGCTTTCAGGAAAGGGAGGAGCTGGACTCCGTGCATCCTGACTGCGTCCCAAAGAAGCTCCAGGGTCAGAAGTAAATGGTTTTAGAGCAACCTCAGAAGGTTTACAAATGAGCATCCCCAGCTCGGTTTTGTGCAAATCACTTCTCTGAATCTTGAGCAGGATAGAGGTGTGGACTTGATAGGGACTTGAAGGGAAGGGAACCACCCTAGGGAAGTCTGGGGAGTTCAGACTGTGCCTTTGGGACATTTCCACTCTGGTTCCCAGCACTGCCCTTCTGCGCCTTCATCTCAGAAGTTTCTTGCAGTCCCTCTAACTTGTTTCTCTCTAGGGCAAGGTATCCTCAGGCTTGGTCTTGTCCTGGTTGCCAACTCAAGAGCCCAAGGCCAAGGGGATGTGGGGAAGATGGCAGGAAAGTTAGAAGTCCATGTTCCCTTAATTGTCTTGTTGTTTATTTTATCCAAGTACCCCAGTGAATAGGGGAAAAATAAACACGGAGGAAAAAAAATCAAACAGTGGAGTCTTCTTTAGTGCCAGTCCTTGTGGTTGAATAAAAAGGATGGTCCGCTTTCTATTGAGCTGAGAAATCTTTGAAGTGGGAGTTATTATCTGAGACATTCTTGCTTGTCGTCCTAACAACGCTGATGAAACGTAAAAGGTTCTTTGTCAGCGATTTGTTCTCCTCTCTGTCAAACTCCCTCTGCCCTGTTAGTTTCAAACCGTTTCTAAAGAGATAAAATCAAACTTCTTTTTAAAAAATATGCATACGGTACACCAATAGATAACTTTAGGACTAAGTCTTGCTAAGATATAAAAACAAAAGCAATGCCTAGACATCAGGGTCAGGGCCTAGATGGGTGAAATGTGCATATGTCGGGGGCCCTTGGCACAAACTCTGAAACATGGGGTGCAGAGAGTGTGCAGGCAGAGTGTACATACTCTAAATCCATGCAGTTCATAATTGTGCATCTGCTTCTTCTGCTCTGGCCTGCACTTAGCCCAAGTTGGGTTACCTAGATGAGCTTCCTTTGAGAGACTCCTTGGGATCCCAATATTTTTGCCCAAGATCCTTGGAACTAGAGGCTGCAGCCAAGTGATTGTTAATATTTCCTGCTCCTTCAAAGCCACTTCTGCTAAAAATAGACCCATTGTGTGTTTCTTCCCCCTAGCAGCAATCAGCAAGCCCTTTCTGCCATTAATAGGAAGGAAAGTGGCTTGAAGGAAAGAGACATTTTAATAATTTCCTGTTTTCTTCAGAATCTTGGCAACTGGAGTCCAGAAAGTTTGGTCTACAACATAGTGACCCAAAATGCATGCAAATACTCATCCTTCCCCCCATTCACGTGTGCAGTTCTTCATTTTATATTGTGCCCAGGAAAGAAACTTTCACCCTGTTCAGGTTTCCCCAAACCTCCTATTGTGGTTTCAAAGGTGGTTTAAATAAACAAGGATGTGCTGATCCCTCCCCCCCACTCTGTGTGTGCTGAGTAAATGGTTTGTGAAGAAGTTTCTCCAAGCTGTAACCCATGCTGTTATTATAGTTGCTGCAAAATGTTGTCTCTTATATCGATTTTATTTGTTTACTGGAGGTCTCCATATGTTTGTTTATATTGCTAATTTATGGGAAATGTAATGATTGCAATGAATGTGATTTATACAGATAGGCAAACGTTTTGTAATCATAATTCACATGCAGAAAAAAGCCTGAATGAAACCTGAGACTATGTGGTACCCTCTCTAATCATACTGTTTGTGATTTATCACCCATCCCCTTAGCATCAGTTAAATTATGAACTAACTTGAAAGAAAAAATAAGTTGTTATGTATTTGACTGAAAGTGATTGTTGAATGAAAAACAAAGTTGAAAGCCACAGCTTAATCTTGTTGTAAATATGTAAATGTAAATGAATTAAATCTGTGATTCTTCTTCCCTCCAAAGGCCTTTATGTACATGGAGCTCCATTTTACTATTTTCGTTGAAAATAAATGACGTGATGGTTCCTTTCCTCTTTTGAATCTGAGTGTCTTGTTATTGCTTCTTCATCCTGGGAGTGACTGGGGGACCTGCAGCAGCCTCCAGTCTCTCTTCGGTCTTTCCATACTGCTTCACAGATACATCTCTTGGATCTAGTCATTAGGAACAACAAAATGGAAGAGCCCCCCCCCAAAGCTGCCCTCCTTCATCGTGGGAGAGACCTCCCTCGTCCCAATTTCATTCCAGTGACACTGACATTATCAACCAATTTACATTACATTAGGGAAGAAGGGAAAAGGATACTCTTGGCGTCTGCCAGGAAAGGCTGTCTTCTCATGTCTGTCCCTGGGCAGGACACACTCTTTCGCAAACCACCTCTGCATTCCCAGAGAAAACCCTGGTATTTGGCGGGAATCAAAACAAAGAAAGAAAAAGGGCGAGTTGGCTTCAAGCCCTAGCTAAACTCTATTGGAGTGTCAGGTAGAGTTTGCCCGCAGGGATCTTCCTGGTTGGATCCTGGATCCCTCCGGAATTAGCGGCTGCTCGGGCCTCAAGGTTGCAAAGCCTTAAGACTGGAAGGCTACAGCCCACAAGACACTTCCCTGGACCCTGACTGAGATCTTTGGTGGGTTTTTCCTCTTGATGAGTGTGTACTCTTATCTGGTCATGCTACTGGGGAGCTTATTTCAAAGGAGTCAGAATCACCTGATCACAGAGCCAACTTTCTGACTCCATTGCTGGCACTGAGCCTAAAGAGGCCAGCAGCTCTTCTTTTACCCCCTCGCCTACTGCGGTGCTATATCAGACAGCAATTCACCCGGCCCCTTTTCAACTCCTGAGAAGTTGGTTCCAGTAGGTCTGGCTGGGGCATGGAGCTGGAAGGAATGGGAAGCACAGTGGCTGCTGGGGTGGGAATGCTAATCTCCTTAGAGAACACCTCAAAGACCCAGCTCATAGGGCAACTGACTGCAGTCTTGGAGAAAATATTGGGGGAAAGGACTCCAGCGCTCAAAGGCACAAGGGTGAGGCACGGGTATAAAAACGGAGGTCACGAAGGGAAGCCAAGACCTGTCGATGGCATCACGAAGAACAGAGGTCCACGGACATTAGCACTGGAATTAGCGCCCCCTCCCGTCCCTCTTGTGGAAGGGACCCCTACCCCACCTCAGGGACAGGTCAGAGGGGCTTCTGCTGTGGCTTGCGTCTCCTTGATCCAGCTTCTTTGAGAGAGAGTACTCATTAAAGTCCTTTCCCCGACAGAAGTATTGTAGTGGGGAGCAAGATTAGGAATGAACTCTGCATTCCCAGTGAGGGCTCTTGCGGGGCTCCAGACTCAGTCCTGTTGGCTGGAGTCCTTACAGCTGCGCTTCCCCCACGCCACCCAGGAAAACTGCGAGGGCAACTGGGAGTCGCGGCCTGCACCATTCCAGAGAATAGAAAAGAGAGCTTGAGGAGGGTCGGCTGTCCTTGGCATCCCTCTCTGGGGTTTTGGAGAAGGAAAGATCTGTCAGTTGAACCTTCCACGTCCCAGAGGAATTAAGAAAGTAGGGGAAGAGGAAAGAGAAAGCATTCTGGGACATTTTAGCCCCGCAGGCACTAGGATAGCTCAGACGTCTTTGAACTATCATCATCATTGTCATCATTATTATTTTAGCTTCTAAACAACCGAAATTTATTTTTCACAGTTCTAGAGACTGGGAAGCCCAAGATGGAGGTTCTATTTTTTGGGGCACTGTTGAATGGTGTAAGCTTTGACACAGGATTGAATTTACTGGTCCTCAAGTGCCAGTGGCTACCCTCACCCTAGAATCAACTCACTCACTTGTTCTCTGGGGAAGTTATCCACCTCTTGTCCCTCAGTGGTAGTCCCCAGGGAAGCCTTGGCAGGTGGTGCTTAGTCTGTTAAGGAGCTAATGATTTCCTACCCGCCCCTCCCCCTCCTTTTCACTACTCTGAATTAAATCGCCAGGTAAAGACTACAGGTGTGGTCCTCCTTAGTTAGGAGGACCTGTCCTGCCTGGCTCACCCACCTACTGGCCCTGTGCGCCTGGAAAAGTGATGAAACCTTTCTGTGCTTCAGTTTCCTCCTCTGTAAAATAAAATTAAAATGACCCTCCTTCATGAGTTTGTTTTGAGCATTAAATAAGACAATACTTTAAACATTTAGAACTTACTTGTTAAGAGCTAGTTGCTGTTACTATTACTTACCTTGAACTCCAGCTTTCAGCTCCTGATTGAATCAGATGACTATGACGACTATGTCCAGTCCCTCCTAGAAAATGTGGCACCCGCAGGGGCCTCATAGGAAGAAGGCAGTTTGCACCTTCATCAGGCAGCTGGGATACCTGAGGGTCCTGATGCCACATGAGTTTATGTTCTCTGAGAGTTCTAGAGCCATTGCACTGAGGACTTGAGGCAGAGACATAAATTATTTCTTAAAGGCCCAAGAAAAATTAGAGGAAATTGAGTTTATTTCAGTGAGGAACGAAGCTGAAGAAACCAATAGCCTTAATATCACCCCTATGACTTGTTAAGACTCTGGCATTGCAGTAAACTCCATTGCCCAGCTGCCCCATGTTGATTTATTTTTATCATAAGTCTTTGCTGTTTATTGTGAGTCCCTTATTGGGCTTTTCAAGAATCATGGGTAGAGGGCAGGAAAATGCGAATGGGAGGCAAATGCAAGCAGCTGGAAGGCCCAGGACAGGGCCTTTGGGCAAAAGTCACACAAAAGTACTCTCCTCCCAGGAAGGCATCAGGACCTTTTACACAATCATGGTTTTCTGTTACTAAATCCTCATTCAGGGAAAATTAATAACAGCTTGGTAAACAAGTGACCAGAGATTCCACAATAACACACTCCACTAGTCACCAGTTTCCTGTCTGGGCATCAGAACACCTTTGCCTTTTTACCCAAGTATCTCCAATGAGGAAAATGAGCAGGAATTTTCTAGGAACACTATCAAGCTCAGATACCAAAGTCACTCAGGAAAGGGGAAATTTAGTGGACAATTAGGGGAGGTCAGGGGCCCCGAATCATTCAGTGGCTTTGCAAACATTCAAAGACAAGAGGAAAAAAAATGCCTTAGGACACAAGTGAATCTGATGTAACTATGACCAGGAAGACTGCACTTTGAAACTTGTCCTGCATTTTTTTCCTCCTTTAGAGCCAGTGTAGACTCTACATCAGCCTAAATTCAGGGCAATCAATTCAAAACAAGGTGAACAGGGCTATACATTGTTCTGAACCTCACAAGGGATGAACAGACTTGAGAAATGTCTGCAGAGGGAATAAACCAGAACTAGGTAATTATCTATGGTTCTCGATGCACCATGTAGTTGTAGAATAATTGCAAAAAGAAAGAAATATAATCCACTAGCAAGATCGATGATTTCTATAGAATATCAGAAGGTTGATTCTGTTTTCTTTTGTTGGTGACTGAAGACTGGCCCATGCAAGAGAGATTAGCCAGGTGAGGATGATGTTTTTTGCCAAAACTAGAAGGAAACTGCAGACAGCTCAAGATCCACAGTTTCTGCCACTGTAAGATCTTGCTCAGGGTTTAACAGGGCCCTTTAGGTTTTGCTCTCATCAATGTATTAATTAAGCATTAAAAAAATACACCCAACATCTTGGTGAAAAGTGTTTTTGCCTGAAATGTTCATAAACCACGAAAAATAGGGACCTGCCCCCCCAATGTTTGCTTATTTCCTGTGAGAGAAGTGGAGAGTTGCCAGATGCACATAAGCAATTCCTAATCACACTGCAGCCTCTTTCACCTGAGAAAATGTAAGTGTTTCAAACATACCATAAAATTTTCCCTATATTTTCTGCCACTGCATCCAATGAGTTAGGAATTCATAGTGAAATGCTTTCTATTGTTCAGAAAAACTGCCCAACTTTCTTTTTAAAAAATGCAACAAAAAACTGTTGTAGAAAAACAGCCTCTTTTAAGTGTGAAATATCATTTCATTGTAAAAAGTTTAAAAAAGGAGTGGTAATCCAACTTCCGGAAACTGTTCTGAATTATTTCACCAGACCCTTTTAAAAGGGGATTAGCAGGGCTTTGGGAGCAAAATCCTTCTGTTTTATTCAATCGCTGATTTTATGTTATAATTACTAGCTGTAAAGACTCTGGAATTAGTATGCAGGCACCGTTAGGACCCGATGCAGGTGCTATTCTAATGGTTCAGCTTTTTAATTAAGAAAAGAGGTAAGAAAATCGAATCATAAAAACACTTTTGTGAGAGCTGAGAACATTGCAGGACTGCATGAATAAAGCCTTTATACCTTCCCCTGACAGGTCAGCTACTGAGACGCTGACTTACGACCTTTTCAGGGCCAGACAATAGTTAACAGCTTTCTCACCTTGTCCCCACAGAACATTTTCTTCTAGGACAGATCTTATGGAAATTGCCTTAAGTAGTAGCTTGACTTCCACAAAAGATTTTGCAGTTAGAATGGATACATATCCATATTGAAATGCCAGCTATTTGGCCCCAACCACAGATCTCTGGATCACTTATCATGAATGGGGGATGGAGGTGTCTGGGAGACATAGAAAGTGGATAGGGGAACACAATCTGCCCTGAGATAGGCACAGAGGGACACATAGGACCAAGGCCAAGGTGGCTCCTCCTCCATTCTTGAGGAAACAAAATAGGAGCAGTGCAAAGAAACCCAAGCATGGGCTGCTGATTATTCTGGGTTTTTCTGAAGTAGGCTTTTCTTGAAGGAAATAAATTTGGTCTAAACACTCCATGCTCTTCTTAGAAGCAGCACAACTCAAATGTGGATGCCTAAGGGGATGCCTTAGTCCTTTGTAAGTTCCTTCAACTCCTCAGCCTCAGATATTCTTTACCTGTGAGTAAAACTGTTCTTTCCCATAATACTTCAAGACAAGTTCCCCAGATCTTTCACCATAGTTAAGGTGGTGCCACCCTAGCCTTGGAACAAGCAGCCGTTATATCTATCATTCCTGTGGATCCCCCACTATTCTCTATTTCAGGGTTTGCTAAAATCTGCATTCCAGATCTGGAC